CTCTCCCACCCTCATTCACTCCCACCTACTCCCCCTCCCCCTCAAAACCCCAACAAGGCCCCGAAGGTTTGGAAGGGGAGTGATAGATTCTACATCCTGGCTACCAGCTCACCTCAGCTGTAGCCCTCAACCCACCACCCCTTCCTGCCCAGCCTACTACCCTTCCATCCTCTCTCCCACCACCTCTACAGAAAGGAGGCCAGCAAGTTACCAGTTCTCGGAAAGGGGAGGAAGGCATTCCATGCCCTGGCCCACACCTCAGCCCTCCCAGTCAATTCCAGCTGTTTCCCAACTGGCAGAGCCGAAAGTTTTCCACCCCGCCTCTGTGGTTCCTGCATCTCCACCCCAACAGTGTGTCCCTCACCAGTCCTTCACCACGATAGAGGGCTGTAGAGTGTCCATCATTTCTTCCCAGTACCCCTCTGCCTGTAGATTAATAACTTGGGCTTTGCGGCACCACCTTAGAGAGAAGGGGTTAACAGAAGTGAAACCCACCCCTGGCAACCCGCTCCTTTCCCCTACCCAGGGTCCATCCTGTCCCCTTACTCGTAAGAAGTAACAAAGTATTTCTTCACATTCTCATCCTCCGGAAAATCAAAGCCATTGTCTCCAGGAATTTCCTCCACCTTCCAGCCATCTCCACCACTCTGGACCTCCTCCCAGGCCTCGAAATCATCTGTGAGGAGTCAAAAGCAAAGCTTGCCCATCCATTGCAGCCATGGCACATCTGATTTGCTTTCTTTAAATCAACTGGGCCCAAGTCTGGGTAGTGTGGAGAGAAAAGCGGGTGCTGCTTTGGCTTGGGATTGAGAAAGATCTTTAAAAACAAGAAATGTAAACTAGTACTGGCTGCTTGAGAATCCAGGCTTGACCTAGGCCTGGTCTAGTGGTTGGAAGGAGTGGGGCCTCTGAGCACCACCATTCCACACCTCCTTTTTCTCCCAGGTCCAGTGAATTAAGGAGGGACAGTCACTGAGCCATAAAGTACTTTGTTAAGTCACAAAGTACCATCCCTCATTTTTTCCTAGCCCCTATGAATCAATCAAACAAGTATTTATTAAGCAATATGTGCCAAGGCACTGTACTAGGCACTAGGGATACAAAGGTAGAAGTGAAACAACCCTTGCCTTCAAACAGCCTAACCTTATCCCACAATCACAAGGGGGGTCTTTGTCCTGAACACCCTGAACTCTTCCCCAACCCCCCCCCTCACAGAATTTCAGAGTTGCAGGGACCCATCCCTAAATAAGAAAAGAAAAGAAAAGAAATCCTTCTAAAGCATATCTAAACTAAGTGGGCATTCAGCCTTTGCTTGAGATGATGCATCTTCCTTCTGGGAGGGAGAGCCCACTCCTTGCAGGGGCGGTCCATTCCACTTCTGGACAGTTCCAATTGTTCAGGAGTTTGTCTTTACATTGAAAGAACCAGAAACGGGCTCCCAGTTCCCTTCTTCTTTGAGAGGCAGGGAAGTACAAGAGATTTGAATCCACACCTTTAGGACACCTTTCTCCAATAACTGCTTAGACCCTCATTCTCAGAAGGGAAGGGATGGCTCAAATATGGAAGGGATAGTCAACAAATTGGATGACTAAACTGAGATCCCCAAAAGATCATAGCAACCCTTAGGAGTCCAGATTTAGAGGTGGAAAGGACTTTAGAGGTCATCCAGCCCAACCCCCTTTTTTACAGTTGAGGAAACTGAGGTCGATGCTGAAATGATTGGTCCAAAGTCATACAGACAGTAAGTGATAGTGCCTGGATACAAACTCAGGTCCTTGACACCCCACAGCTTCTATCTCTATGTTGGGCTGAATCTATTAAGATATAATTTAGTACAGATACATGGATTAAAAAAAAAAGCTTTAAGTATGGTATAGGGCTAGACCAGTGGTGCCAAACTAAAATAGAAGCAGGAACAGCTAGGTGGTGCAGTGGATAGAGCACAGGCCCTGAAGTCAGGAGGACCTGAGTTCAAATCTGGGCTCAGACCAAACACTTGACACTTACTAGTTGTGTGACCCTGGGCAAGTCACTTAACCCCAGTTGCCTAAGAAAAAACAAACAAACAAACAAAAAACAAACAAAAAACAACTAAAATAGAAGCAAGGGCTACCAAACCATACATAAGGATCCCTGTAGGTCACATATTGACTTAGAAAACTATATATTGACATTATCTATGTTCTATTGCATTCTTTAATCTATTCTGTTAAATATTTCCCAATAACATTTTAATCTGGTTCATTATAGCCCATGGGGGATGGGGTAGGAGGGAGTTATTTGACACCTCTGGACTAGACAATAGTACATGTGGAAAAAAGATCTGGGGCTCTGAGTGGGCCACAGTTCAGTATGAGTCAATATGCCAAAAGAGGGAGTGGTATTTTTGGGCTATGTCAGTCCCTATCCAGGGTCCTGAATTCAGATCTGGGCCCCACATTTTAGACAGGACATTGATAAGTTGAGGAGTGTGCAGAGGAAGGCAGTTAAGATGGTAGAGCACCTCAATCCCATGGCATAGGAAGATAATTTAAAGGAGCTGGAGCCAGTTAACCTGGACAGGAGATTTGGGCCAGGGATGTGTGTGGCAGGGGGTGGGGTAGCATGATCTCTATCTTCAGGTATTTGAAGGACTGGCTCAAGAAAGAAGGTTTAGTCTTATTCTCCCTGACTCTAGGGGATAGAACCAAGGGCAATATGGAAGATGGGGAGGCAAGTGTTGGTTTGATGTAAGAAGCTTCCATACTTTTGGATACTTTGGATACTTAGAAGCATCTAAGAATGCTAGGCAGCCTCAGGAGGTAGTGAATTCCCTACCACTGGTTGTCATGAGATCTAGAAATGAAAGTGTCCTTAGAAATCTAGTCTAACAACTTCATTTTACAGATGAGGAAACCGAGGCACACAGAAGTGGAATGACTTGGCCAGGAATCACACAGTTCTAAGTATGGTAGGGGTAGAGGAGAAAGCTGGGATTAGAACCAAGAATTCCAGGCTGCTCAACCTGAAGTTGGCTGATCACTTGTCAGGGGATACTGAAGAGGTCCTACTTGGATACAGGTTGGCCTGGGTGCCCTCTGAGGTTCCTTCCAGCTCTAAAATCCTATGGGTCTAAACAAGACATTAGACGCTGGTGTCTAGACACAGACACTAAAAAGAGAGTCAAATTCAACTAAGGTTATTTAGGGGTGACCCTATGGAGGTGGTGGGTGAGTAGGGGGATGAGGTGACTTGCAAATCTGTGTAGTCTACAGCCTGTCCCCAAAACTATCTGCCTCCATTGCCAATGACACAGGCTCTTTTATTACTGATCAATCAGATGTCCTTTTACTTGCCTCAGTAGCCAGATGGCAGAAGGGTGGTGTTGGTGGTTATGAGTTCAAATCTATATTTCTGACTTCCCTTCCTTCCCTCTCCTCTCTTTTCCCTCCCCTTTCACTTCCCCTTCTCTCTCCCTTCCATCTTCTTCACCTCCTCTTTCATCTCCCTTTTTCCTTTTCCTCCTCCTCTTCCCTTTTAGTTGCCCCTCCCCTTCTCTTTCCCTCCCCTCCTCTATACTCTCCTCTCTCCCTTTTCCTTCCCCTCTCCTTTCACTTCCCCTCCTTCCCTTATCCTTTCCTCTCCTCCCTCTTATATCCTTTCTCTTTCCTTTCTCTCCTCTCCTTTCCCTCCCTCCTTCCCTTTCCCTCTCTTCTCTCCCCTCTCCTTCCCTTCATTCCCCTCCCTCCCCAGGTCATTTTTCTTTACCTTCTCCAAAAACGTTCTTGAGCAGATTCCTTTTCCGCTTGCTGAGGAAGTAGAAGAGCATCCAGTTGTCCCGATCCTCCTCAACCTGATCTTCCCTCGCCAGTCCTTCCTGCTGGCACTTGAAGACCCAAAGTGAAGCACCATCCACCAGGGCTTTCCACTGCAGACACACCAGGCGGCATATGTGCACCAGCTCGGTGGCAGGCAGTGAGGCCAGAATTTGGATCAGGACAGGATCAGGCAGGTCATCCATGCACGCTTCTTGCTGACCCAGACTCTCTGGAGACAGATTGGGTAGAAAAGGGAGGAGAATTCTCATCAGCCCTCTGCCCTGGGACCACAGCTTCTCTTCTTCAAGGATCTCCTCTGAAAACAACAGCTAAAAATATCAGCTCCCATTTGTCTCTGAGAGGCAACATAGTATAGCAGAAAGAGCCCTGGGTCTGGAGTCAAAGGACTTCAATTCAAATTCCACCTCTGATGTGTGACCTGGGACAAGTCACCTAACCTCCTTTAGCTAATTTCCTCTTCTGTTGTAGGAGGGGATTATGTTGCGCTAGTTATCTTCAGAGGTCCCTTCCAGCACGACATGTAGGATCCTAGTATCCTCAATTCAAAAGATGCTCTGGAAATACTAGGAGCTCAAATGATGTTTATTTGAATTGAATAGAATATTCCAAGGACAGTGACAGAGAATACAGTATGGTAGCTAACACAAACACAGGGCTCTTGGGCTCTGAGATAGCAGGACCTCATATTTCTCTAGTGCTTGGAGGGTTTTGCAAAGTACTTTCTCCAGAATGTCCCTGAGAGGCAGGTAGTGCAAATGCTGTTAACCTCATTTTACAGATGAGGAAACTGAGGCTCCAAGGACTCCAAGGGAGTGTGAAGGATCCCCAGGATCCAATGATCCTTGGATCTCTGGAGTTAGAAGAGACCTCAGAGGCATCTAGTCTACCTAATGCTCTCCATAGAAGACCCAGGAGGGATTAGTAATGTTCTCCAAGTCACACACAGGTAGTAAACATAAGAGGTGGGGTTTCAATCCAGGTCACCTAACATCCTTTGGATCTCCACCAGGCTTCCTCTGAATGGATCATAGGACATTCGATCTAGAGTCAAAAGGGACTTTGGAGATCATTTAGTCCAACTTCCTCCTCTTGTAGCCAGGAGACTGAGAATCAGAGTGAAGTTCAAGGTCACACGAGTAGTAGACATCAGAGACAGGATTTGAACTTGGGTCCCATTACTCCAAGTTCAGTACAATTGTATCCATTTCAAGGTCCAGCTCAAATGCCACCTCCTCCAGAAAAAAAAAATTCCTTGATCTTCCCTCCCTACACTGACACAGTTCCTTCTTCTGAATACATAAAACACTGCTTTATGCTAGAATTATTGATCAGCCAATCAACAAGCATTTATTAAGCACCTACTATGTGTCAGGCTCTGTGCTAGGCACTGAGGCTACAGATACAAAGAATGATACAATCCTGCCTTTGAAGCACTTACGTTCTACCTATGTATATACATCATCCCCCTGACCAGCCAGTAAACTCTTCAAGGACAAAAGTCTGGTCTGACTCATCTTCAGGGGTGTTTTGCCAAGGGCCTTACACATAATTGGCATTGGATAAGTATTGATTTGAAATGGAATTGTGTGCCTTGTACTCACTAAGTGCATGTAGGCACAGCTTTCCCTAGACCTTAGCTACAGTCGTATGGGATGGAGATAAGAATTATTCCTCCCATTTTACAGAAAGGGAATCTGAGAGAACCATGGGAAGATTTGGATAAAATGATGCAGTGAAGTAATCGAAAGAGAGAAACAGACAATAAGTAACATAGAGGAAAAGAAGAAAATGAAGGAGGTGTAATTGTAGCCACCAATCTTGAGCCATTCAAGAGAGGAAAGGAAGTGCATCTTCTTTATTCCAGATGGGGTACATTGTTGTGAACACTATCAGATTTGGTCACTGCATCACTGTTTTTCTTTGTCACAAAGGTGGGGGTGGGTAGAGAATCCAAAAATTATTTTGATATAAAACAAAAAGGCATTGAATGCCATGTGATTATGATAGCCAAGTTTGGCCCTGAAGAGTATACCTTCCTGGTGTTTGTACAGAGGTGGGGGACTATGAGTGTGAAACAGCATGTACCTTCAGATGGGATTGATCAATGTCAGTTAGTTTTGCTAAACTACTTTCCCCTCCCCTTCTTTTATTTTTATCCTTTTTTAAAGGATAACTCTCAGAGAAGGGGAGGATATCTTGGGAAATTAATGCAATGTAAAAACAAAAAGTATCTATTTTAAAAATTAAAGAAAAAGGGCATAAATAGAACTTTTAAAAGAAGAAGAAGTAAAGAGAAGCTGAGCCCCAGAATGATTTGGTGACTTTCCCTAGGTCACCGAAATTAAAAGCCCGGACCACTGAGGCTTTCTACCCTGTAGATAAGGACATTCTCTTGGGACCAGGACCCAGGTGTCCTAACCACTCCTTTGTCTTCAGGGTCCAGCTCAGGCCCTGGCTGGACACTTGATGCTCTCAGGAAGGCACAACCTACTCCAGTCAACTCTCCTGGCCCCTGGCCCTGCGCTTTGAACTCAGGATCTGATTACCTCCTTACCCCCCTATCTCCTCCACACACAACTACCTATATTGTTGCTGGTTGGAAAGTTATCTGGCTCCTGGAAGCTGCCACAGGAGCTGACTCACTCACCTAGATTTGGCCCCTGAGACCAGGGAATTAGTGGACCCTGGGAACAACAGGTCCTTCATTCTGGGGCCATGCAGAGGGTAAAGTGGAGAGACAGTATGGCACCATGGAAAGAATGCTGGATTTGGGATCAGAAAACTTGGGGTCAAGCCCCAGTTCTGCTATTCACTACCTGTGTAACCCTGGGCAAATCACTCCATGTCTCTAAGACTCAGTTTCCTCATCTATAAAATGAGGGTGTTGGACTAGATGAGGTTAATTCTATGAGCCAAGTATAAAACTATTAATAATTATATAATAATTAATTAGTGTTTTAATAATTAATGTAATAATTGATTACATAATAAATATATAATAATATATAATAATTAAATATCAAGCTATTCAAGAGTGGGTGGATTTAAATTATTAGACCTGATTTAAGTAGGATGGGAATTTAGGGGTCCCCGGCACACAGGTTCAAATCCACCTGGACAAGATTCCCTCAGAGGACATTAATCAATCAACAAGGATTTATTAAGGACTTACTGTGTGTCAGGCATTGTGCTGGAGATAAAAAGACAAATAAAACAGCCCCTGCCCTGAAGGAGTTTGGGCATGGGTGGGAAATGAGCAGGGGATAAAATTAATCTTGAGTTAGTCTCCCCTGGTATCCAGCACCAGTCTTAGCCTTCCCCATCAAGGCCAAAGGTCCAGTTGGAGACACCCCCATCTCCCCAAATGTACACACTGACTCAGCAAATGGCCTCTCAGCCCATCTAAGGAAGAGCACAGCTTTATGCTTCTCAGAATCAGAGTTGTGCCTCTCTGTCCACACTCTTGGCCAACCCCCTACCATGGATAGTAGTTGGTGGTTTCCCCTTTTCCCAGGGACCTGAATGCAACTTGGCCCTTGCTGTCTTGCTTCCCTCTACTTCACTGGCACTATCATCTCTCAGTGGTGTCAGGCTGGCCAGCAAGACAGGTATCAGATAGAGGAGAAGGGAGGGGAGGGCCAGGAAAGGGAAGGCAAAGGAGGAAAGGGGATAGGAGGAAAGGCTTCCACGGGAATAGAAGGAAGAAGGAGAGGGAAGAGAAGAGGTATCACTCCTTGAGATGCTATAGAGAAAGAGATTATGGGTCACAGATCGAGACAAGAAGATACTGAACCAGACTGAAAATTAAATAATGTACTTCTCCCTCACACACCTGACTCAGCTTCTCCCACAAATGCACCCCTCCTCCTCAAACTAAGACAGGCGCACAAGCCTAGAGTACTACGTCAGACCCCGTTGACATGGGCTCCTCTAGAGAGGCCCACAAGCAGTTGATGGAAGAGCGCCAGAGGGAAATTCGTTCTGTGGCCCACGCGGATGGGGAAACTGAGGCCAGGGGTGCGTAAATTTGGCAGATATCATACAAAAACCCAAATGTGCTAACCCCCTCTCCAGACAGCCACCTTCACCCACTTTTCCTGGAAATGGGAAATCACTTTGCTGCCTTCTCCTGTGCCCCGCCTCCCCTTCCTCACCGCCCACTCCGTTGTGCGGAGGGGGTCCCCGGAGATCTGGCGACTTCCCTGCCCTGCAAAGCCTTCCCCGGGCCAAGAGTTAATTGGCCCTCTCCGCCTCCAGCCCGGTCTCTTCTCCCTCTCTCTACCTGGTTCTGTGTATTCTTCCATGTCTTCCTGGGGCAGGGGACGCAGCTATCAGGGGACGAGGAGCTAAGGAGAGCCTCCCCAGATGTTCCTCTCCTTCAGGTCCTAGGCAACCAGATGCTCCGCCCTCCTCTGCCCTGCACAGACTGTCACAGCTCTGCTCGGCTCTCTGTTCTCCAGCGCCGGTGCGGGAGGGCTAGGCTGGCCAGCGCTTCTTAAAGGGAACCGCTTCTCCGCCCTAGCCCGCCGAACTCCTCCCCTGCCCTTGGCTCTGGGCCCAACTCGGCTCCGCTGGGAATGGAGGGTCAATACTGGCCTCTACTGAGGCGCATTTCCCTGCTCCATAGTCAGCTCTTTGGCGTTGTAGCACGTAGAAGGGCACCCAGGAAGCCTGTAGTCCCCGGGGGGCCAGGAGATCATTTTCCTGGGGCATGAATGGACTAGGGGAGGGTGCCCTTTCAGAAAGAGGTCTAGGATGGAAGTCCGCATCTGCTGAACTCAGCCAACTATCCTGGCCTAGGTGGGGGAGGGGGGAGGCCGAGGGAGGAATAGAAGGGAGAGGGGGCTGCTTCTGGATCAAGCTAGATTGTAGAGGAGTCAGTGCCAACGGTCGGGGGGAAGGCTAGAGGGGGGGGGGCCGGGGGGGGGGGCGGGGGGGAGTGAATGCTGCAACCCCAAGTAGCAAGAGCATTGACCTGAAAGTGGGAGGCATGGGAGTCTAGCCCTACTCTGCTGCGTATCAACTGAAGCAAGTCATTTCAACCCTTTTTGTGCCTCATTTTCTTCCTCTGGAAAGCAAGGATCTTGGACTGAACACTCTCTAAAGGACTACCCGCAGCCCCCAACCCGGCTCTGACATTCTCTGTTCCAAAGGACACCCCTCCCCCACATTCTAAGATCCCCTTCCCAATCCTGACATTCTCTGTTCTAAGGTCCCTTCCAGCTCTGGCATTCTAAGATCCTTCCTGATTCTGACTTCTCTGTTCTGAGGCCTCTCCAGCCCTGACATTCCAGGTTGTAAGGTCACCTTCACTTCCAAATGTGTCTCCACTTGGTTTAGTATTTGGGGCAGAAGCTGTATAGGAAATCAGCAAATTAAAAAGCAAAATTTTTACATAATTCTTCCCCCAGGAGGGTGATGGTAGTATCTAGCTCCTCTAGACACTTCAGATAATTGGATTTCCCAGAGCGCAATGGGAACCCAAGTGGATGGGGAGAGGGGCCTGAGGGGAAGGAGGAGGTCTGGATACCAATCCTAGCTCTGCCAGTAACTGCTGATGTGACTTGAGGCAGAAGTGACAGAGAAGTGACTTCTCGACTCCAAGCTCTCCTCCTCTTTCAAATAAGGGACTTGTACTAGACAATCACATCTAAGGTCCCTCTTAATTCCTGTATTTGTGTAGAAAAATTACACACACACACACACACACACACTCCCCTGACAGCCTGTTTTCTTAAGAGTCTTCCCAGCTCTGAGTGTCTGAATCAATATTCTATGATCCCACCCAACTCTGACATTCCAGGTGCTAACCAGGCCTGACGTTCTTTGTTCTAAGGAACCCTTCCAGTTCCAGCATACTGTGTTCTGAGGCCGAGGTGTGTGGCTGCAACACTCCAGAGAGAAGGCTGAATCAGATTAAAATGTAATTGAGAAATATTTAACCAAAAACTGCAATAAGACAAAAATAACATGAAATTTTAAAACTAAGTCAACATGCCACAAACAGGGGATACTTATGTATTGGCCTCCATTGCTATTTGAGATTGATGCTTTCGTTCTAAGAAGCACCTCCTTCCTCCCTCCAATTCTGACACTCTATGTTAAGGACCCTCAGAACTCAGTCTGTGTTCTAAGGTGATAACCCACACACACATACTCCAGCTCTGACATTCTATGTTCTAAGGAACCCTTTTTACTCTGACATTCTATGATCTAAGGGCCTTCAGAGCTCAGAAAGACTGTTTTAAGGTGCCACCCATCCAGAGGCTCAGGCATGCACATACACACACACACACACACACACACACACACACACACACTGATACGTGCTAAAAGCTTTCCCAGCTGTACCACTTGGTTGTGAGAGTCTTTCCAGCTATAATATTCTGTTTTAAGATTCCTACCAATTCTGACATTCTCTGTTCTAAAAGTTCCCTCCAGCTCTGACAATCTATGTTCTAAGGCACACCTCTAGCTCTGATATATTTTCTAAAGGCCCTCAGAACTCAGACTCTATGTTCTAAGATGCCACCCACCTGCCCACACACGCACGCAACCTACCACCCCCCCCCATACATACTCCATCTCTGACATTCTATTTTCTAAGCTCTTTCCAAGCTGTAACATTCTGTTCTGAGGGCCCTGTAGCTCTGACATCCTCTGTTCTAAGATTCTCCCCAGCTCTAACACTACTCAGATTCTGGGATCCTGGGAGTGGGCGGTCCCGGCAGCCTGGGGTTGGGGGGTAGGGGGAAAGGAGGTGGGACTTTGCAGGGCCGAGGGGCGGGGCCTCAGCCCAGACCAGCGCTCACTCCGCCGGCTGAGCGGCCCGCCGCGCCCGGAGCTGGGAGGGGGTCCCCACCGCGCAGGATGCTGGGGGTCTCCAACCGGCGTTGTCGAGGTCACTGCGGGGGGCAGGGGCGGTACGATGGGGAGCCGGGAGAGAGTCATCCAAAGAGGGAGGGGACGCGGGCTCGCTGTGGCCCGGGGCCGTGCGGAGGGGCCGAGGCAGGAGCTGGGAGCTAGTGCGCCAGGGTCCTTGTCCCCCAAGGGCAGTGCCGCACTGCAGGCCGGGGGGGGGCGCGCGGCCGCGGCAGCGACAGTAATTTTCCAGGCTGAACTGGCAGAAGCCAAGGGAGCTGGGCCCACAGGGAGCGGGAGATGGAACTGCGGAGGACAGGGAGGGCGAGAGGCGGACAGGACAGGGAGCCAAGGCAACCCAGTCCGCTGGTTTGACAGCCGAGGAAACTGAGGTCCGCAGAGGCGCAAGAGCTTACCCAAGATCTCACTGCAATTAACCGGCTGCCATTCACGAAAGTACTCGAGCAACAGATGCCCACACACGAACACGAGCGCAAGCACACACGCGCACACACGATTACTTTTAACTGTAGATTATCCCTGATACGAAATGGAACCCGGGACACAAATGATCCACAATACAAATAATCCCCAGAATGTATATATTTGGCTGTCAAATGTATATGAATGTCGAAAGGTCACTTTAAATTCCTAATCTGATTCTTCGCAACGATGCTATGCATTTTAATGAAATTTAAATTGAATGGAATTGGGGCGTGAGCCTGGGCCGCCGCTTTGCCATTTACTGTGATGCGGACGATTGTGGGAAGGTCACAGCGCCTCCCTGGGTCTCAGTTTCCTTATCAGTAAAATGAGGGAGTTGGATTAGAGCGTGAAGGTCTTTTCCAGCCCATACCCACTGTCAATGGGAAGACGCCACTCTGAAGGGCCAATCAATCAAGGAGCATTTAAGCGCCAAGCACTGAGACAAAAGACAAAAATGAAACAGTCCCTGCCTTCTGGAGGTTTACAATCTAGCCAAGGGGGACAACACATACATATATAAGTATATGCTAAAAAGATACTAGATAATTTGAGGGAGAGGTAGCTGGGGGTGGGGTCAGGAAAGGCTTTATGTAAAGAAGGGATTCTGGAGTCTGTAAACTTAGCCTTTGTTTTTTAATGCCGATAATTATACTATGTAATATAATTGGTTTCCTTTGCTAATCCTTATTTTATTTTATCAATTTAGCATTATTAACAACCATAGGCTTTCTACATATTTGCTTGTTTTCTTCTCCATTAGATTGTGAGCTCCTTGTGGGCAGGGATTGTCCTTTTCTTCTTTTTTATATCACCAATGTTTAGCACACTGCCAGGCACATAGTAGACACTTAATAAATGCTTATTGACCCACTCACTGATTAACCAGACTGCCGAAGAGATCCATGGCATAAAAAGGAAGGTTAAGAACCCGCAAATGTTGCTTGAGCTGAAAGTAAAAGATTCCAAAGAGGAAAGGAAGGAAAACATTCCAGGCATGAGGGACAGCCTGTGCAAAGGCAGAGAGGAGATATGGAGTTTTGTGTGTGAGGAACAGCAATGGCAGCTTGAAGATTGGGAACCTAGGTGATTAAAAGGGTAGATTTTAAAAGAAGAGTGGATTTGGAAGGAGAGATAATGAGTTCTGTTTTCAGTATGTTGAGTTTGAAATGACACAATGTCATTCAGTTTGGAAGAGGCAGTTGCTTGGTGATGTGAGACTATAGCTCAGGAAAGAGGATAGATAGATAGATAGATAGATAGATAGATAGATAGATAGATAGATAGATAGATAGATAGATAGATAGATAGATAGATAGATAGATAGAGACAGATCAGGGAATCACAGACATAACAATTGAACTCACAGGAAATGAAAGTTCTGAGGGGGTGGCTGTGCTTTTGTCCCTAACCCATCCTTAGCACTGTGGCTATGGTGCCTGAAAACAACACTCCTCATAGACATGTGTATGTGCCTCTGTGTGTGTGTGTTTCCCAGCACCTGGGCCCAGGGAAATGCAGAATCCAGCCCTCTGTGAAGGTATTTGTGCTGTATACGTTCACTTACTAGGGCCGTGGTCCGTATAGACACTGCCTTTTACAGGCATGTTTCCACTATTTTTGTGTGTCCCCAATACAGATCGTGGCCATTATAGACGCTTGCCCTCACAGACCTGTGTCTGGTGTTTGCAGATCCCCAGCCCATCCTGACTGTTGGTACTATGGCTTCCATCAATGACTTACCCAATAATATTCTTCTGGAGCTGTTCTCCATGGTGCCAGCCCGGGAGCTCCTGCTGCATTGTCGGCCAGTCTGCAGCCTGTGGCGAGACCTCATCGACCTGGTGTCCCTGTGGAAGCTGAAGTGCCAGCGTGAGGGCTTCATTCCCAAGACGTGGGGCCAGCCTGTATCTGACTGGAAGATTTTCTACTTCCTCTGCAGCCTCCAGAGGAACCTAATCCGAAATCCCTGTGCTGAAGGTGGGTGCACTTACCCTTGGTACTATAACAGAGTCTGTCCATGGAGACGCTACAGTGTAGACATCAGTAGTATGCGTCACAGTAGCCATACGGTGTAGCCATCTAGAGCTTATATCTCAACTGCACAA